AACCGGCCTACTGCAGTGTTCCTCCTTTCTTATTGGAGACTTTGTTTGTGTGAGGGAGGGATGGAAAGTTTATTGTTGGAGAATATGACAGAAGATAAGATAAGATTTCGTTCGGATTTTTAACCCCGGAGGGTTAGCCACCCAGGATAACCCAAGAAAGTCAGTGCGTCATCGAGGACTGTCTAACTTATTTCCATTGGGGTCCTTAATCTTGTCCCCCAGGATGCGACCCACACCAGTTGACTAACACCCAGGTACCTATTTGCTGCTAGGTGAACAGGACAACAGGTGTAAGGAAACGTGTCGAAATGTTTCCACCCGCCGGGAATCGAACCCAGGCCCTCTGTGTGTGAAGCGGGAGCTTTAGCCACCAGGCCACTGGGCCACCGAATATCAACTCTACAGCTTATTTATCTATCACAATTCAACTAATATGACATAATAAACAATATTAATAACATAGATAAGGAGAATCTTGAAGAACATGTCGGTTCTCTGAACCATTCATCTACAAACCTGTCAGACAGGCAAGAATATTGTTGTTGGGGATAGCCAGGTTAGCTACATGGATCGGGCATTCTGCTTGAAGGACAGGAGTAGGAGACAGAGGGTATGCTTTCCTGGGGCTGGGATGGAGGACATTGTTAGCCGGCTTGACAACATCATGAACGGTAATGGGATCAATCCTATTATTTGCCTCAGTGCTGGAGGCAATGATGTAGGCAAGCGTAGAAGTGAGGACTTAGAAAGTTCAGGACAGCTATAGACATAATTAGGAAGAAGGAGGGGGGGGCGCCCTGTTATATGTGGCATTTTGCCAAGAAGAGGTGTTGGTAATGAATGGTTGTCCAGAGCAATTGGTATTAATTGTTGGCTGGATAAACACTGTAAGGATAATGCAGTACCATTCATTGACAACTGGGACAACTTCTATGGCCGAAATGACATGTATGCCAGGGATGGGGTTCACTTATCCAGGGCAGGTGTGGGTTTTCTTGCTAACTCAGTTGAGGGGGTTGTTAGGACTTTAAACTAGGATTAGTTAGAGGTATGGGTTTAGAAATGATAAATAAGGAGTATGGATATGATATTAAGAATCTTAATAGTAACTGTCATGGAGTAACTCTGGGTAATGATAATTTCAGAAATTGTGTAAAAACAAAGATGAATAGGAAAAATGTGCAGAAGAAAAAACATATGATGGTATTTTATGCTAACAGTCGAAGTGCAAGAAATAAAATTAATGAACTACGTTTGGTAGCATGTGCTGGGAACTTTGATATCATTGCATTAACTGAAACGTGGTATGATTTAAAGAGTCGGGATATGACTGCTGAGTGTAATATTCAGGGATTTAAGTTGTTCAATGTGGATAGATGTAAAGGGAAGGGGGGTGGAGTTGCATTGTATGTTCGAGAAAATATTAATTGTTGCATAAAAACAGGTATAAAAATAGATGGAGCAGTAACAGAGTCTGGGTAGAGTTCGTGGAGGGTCAAGAAAAACTAATTCTAGGTGTAATATACCGACCTCCAGGCTTGGATCACGATAGAGGGAGACTTCTTTGGGACGAAATTGTTAGGGCTTCTGGACACAGTAACATAGTCATAGTAGGGGACTAACTTTAGTCAAATTGACTGGAATTCTTTGACAGGTAATCTAGAGTCCAGTGACTTTATGGAAACGGTTCAGGACTGTTTTCTGAAACAGAGCGTAACTGAGCCTACCAGGGGTAATAATTTGCTAGACCTAGTCTTGTCAAATAAGGAAACACTCTTGAATAAACTGGAGGTCACTGAAGAGCTTGGCGCAAGTGATCACAAATCCATCACTTTTAGCATTAATTGGGAATGCAAGAATAATGATAATACAGTAAAAATACCTGATTTTCGTTCTGCCGATTATAATGGACTTAGGGGACATCTGTCTAATCTTGATTGGGGTTATCTAGCTAATGATTTTATTGATGATAATCATGCTTATGAATATGAAGGGATCTGCTTTTATGATTGTTTTCTTATTAATGTACACAGTGCCCAGAGTATATACATTCCCCAGAGAGAAATTAGGTCTAATAATAACGATCCCAAATGGGTTAACAGGAGGCTAAAGCATCTATTAGGGGAGAAAAGGGGAATTTATAGGCGCATCAGAAGAGGAGAGGTTAACCTTACTGACCAATATGTTCAGCTTAAAAGAGAAGTAAAAAAGGCGATTAGAAAGGCTAAACGTGATTATGAAATTAGAGTTGCTAATGAATCAAAGACTAATCCAAAGGGGTTCATTCAAGTGTATAGGACGAAGGTGAAGGAAAAAGTAGGACCTCTGAAAACTGGGAATGGACAGCTGACTGATAATGAACTGGAAATGTGTTCCTTATTTAATGACTATTTTTTGTCAGTTTTTACACAGGAAGATGTAAATGAGATTCTAGTAATTAACAATTATTTTGTTCCTGATGAATTTAAGTTAACTAATATTACTGTCACGAGGGACATGGTTATTAAACAGATAGACAAACTGAAATAAAATAAGTCCCCGGGACCCGATGAGTTGTTTTCAAGGGTACTTAAGGAATGCGAGATGGAGCTTAGTCAGCCATTAACGTGTGTGTTTAATGAGTCCATCCTTACCGGTGTTGTGCCAGAGTTGTGGAAGATGGCTAATGTGGTTCCTATATTCAAATCAGGGGATAAGTCCACTCCTTCAAATTACCGTCCAATAAGCCTGACATCTATAGTGGGCAAGTTATTAGAATCAATTATAGCTGACATTATCAGAAGTCACCTTGAAGAGCATAACTTGATAAATGAATCTCAGCATGGATTCACGAGAGGTCGTTCCTGCCTGACAAACTTACTGACGATCTTCAATAGAACATTTGAGGCAGTTGACAGTGATAGGGAGTGTGATATTGTTTATTTGGATTTTAGTAAGGCCTTCGACAGAGTACCTCACAAGAGACTCTTAAGAAAAGTGGCAGCTCATGGTATAGGAGGTAAAGTTCTAGCATGGATTGAGGCATGGCTTACCAATAGAAAGCAGAGAGTTACCATTAATGGAGTGAAATCTGAATGGGGATTAGTCACTAGTGGCGTTCCACAAGGATCAGTTTTAGGCCCTCTCCTGTTCATAATTTACATTAATGACCTTGATGAAGGGATTACTAGTGACATGAGTAAGTTTGCTGATGATACAAAGATAGGCCGTATAATTCACTCTGAGGAGGATATCAATGAACTCCAGGACTATTTGAACAAATTAATGTCTTGGTTTGAAAAATGGCAGATGAAGTTTAATGTGGATAAGTGTAAGGTACTTGCCCTTGGTAATGAAAATAACCCTCGAAGCTATAATCTAGGTGAAGTAGAGCTTGGTCATACAGAATGTGAAAAAGACTTGGGAGTCATGGTAAGCAGAAATCTAAAGCCAAGACAGCAGTGCCTTAGTGTGCGCAACAAGGCCAACAGATTACTTGGATTTATCTCAAGAAGTATAAGTAACAGAAGTCCAAAAGTTATTTTACAGCTCTATACATCACTAGTGAGGCCTCATTTAGATTATGCTGCTCAGTTTTTGTCCCCTTACTACAGGATGGACATAGACTCATTAGAGAACATACAGAGAAGAATGACTAAAATGATTTACTGTGTAAGGAACCTCCCGTATGAAGATAGACTTAAAGCCTTAAATCTCCACTCTCTGGAGAGGCGTAGAATGAGGGGAGATATCATTGAAGTGTATAAGTGGATGACGGGCATAAACAAGGGAGACATTAATAAAGTACTGAGGGTGTCGAACCAGGTAAGAACCAGGAATAATGGATTTAAGTTGGATAAATTTAGATTTAGAAAGGACATAGGTAAGTACTGGTTTTCTAACAGAGTTGTAGATGCGTGGAACAGTCTTCCCAGTGGGGTGATAGAGGCTAGGACCTTGGGTAGCTTTAAGAAGAGACTGGACAAATATATGAGTGGGAGGGGCTGGGTTTGATTGGTGTCATGGGGTACAGGAGTTATTTCTTGGGTAGCTTTAGGTAGATGTCGTTTTGATAAGGACCTGCCTCGTATGGGCCAGTAGGCCTTCTGCAGTGTTCCTACATTCTTATGTTCTTATGTTCTTAACTTCTTGGGATCTTAATACTTAGGAATTCTACGCTTGCCTAATTCTTGGGCACGACCTACTTCCACATTGAACAAATGTGACACCACCTATGACTGCTGCACCTCTCCTGCCTGCGGTTTATAAGCCCCTTCTCCGTACGTATGCCGTATTCTATTCAAGATTGATGGACTGACCACATCGACTCAAGGTTGAGGGACTGATTAACTCATTCTCCTCCTGTTCTTCAAGATTCTCCTTTGTATGGACTGATGAAGCCACTGTGTGGCGAAATGTTTCCTCAATAAAGATACCCTAGAGTTGCACATGTGTCTAATTTATCAAAATGTTGGTTTTCTCTGAACCATTCATCTACAAACTTTTTCTTAAATTGTGTGTTTCTCACATTCTTTACCAAAGGGCTGGCACTAGAAGCTTTCCTTGGAGCCATGGTGACTTATTTAGCAGTTGCAAACACTAAAACGAATGGAATATTATAAAATATATCGTATGAACTCGTGGGATCATCCTCACTCACTGATAAACAATGGCGCACTGGCTGGGAAAGGAGTGTGAGGCGGCTCGGGGCTGTGTGTACCTGTCCCAGACGAACTACTATTTGCGAGTCAATCTATGATTAGCGAGCCCATGTTTATGTGAAAATATCCCTATGATTTCCGAAATTTACGATTCTCGAGAACTACGATAATCGAGGGACCACTGTACTTTTTTCATTACTAATGCTGTTTTTGTATACGCTTTAGTGTGGTAATATATTTATTTGAGGATTTTTGAGCTATTGCATGGAGAAGCGGTGACTGAATTAAAAATTGAATGCATACTATATATTAGCTTTATAAGTATTATTTAGTACTGTATTGGCTTTTAACTGTTGACAGGCTTCATCGTGCATCTCAGACCTATGCTGCAACTATAATGCTGTGCGAGGAAATCTTGCCAGCACCAGTAATCTATGGGACATTGGTACCTCTTATGAGTTGGTTAGCTGTTCAAAAACTCATCATTCAACCATATATGCGGCAACAGAAACAAGCAGAGCTACTTAAGCAGAGAGAAGCAAACAGAAGCAGGTATGATAAATTGCTTGTTAAGAAGTTACACCTACCATCCGACTTACGACCTGCTTGACATACGGCCACTCGAGTTACGACTGTGTTTTTTATGCCAAATTTCTGGGAAATAAACAACTGTTTGTGTTGTACACAGTGTTTATCCTAAACCTTAAAGTATAAAATACGGTTCTAACAGCATAAAAAGTAAAGTAAAAAATGAAATACCAAAATAAAACAATAAAATAAAGTCATTACAAAAATGTGATGTTGATATTCAGTAGTAAAGTTCGACTTACATCCATTTTGACTTACGACCGGTTGGTCGGAACCAAGCTCCGTCGTAAGTCGGATGGTAGGTGTATATTTCTTATTTTTGGGGGGTCACTCTCTTCTTTGTGGGAAATGGTCGGTGTGTTAAAAAATAGTATTTTTTATTTCAAGTAAACCATGCACAAAGTACACTGTCTTATTTTTGTTTTACTTTACTACAGTTAGTGATGGCTTCTTTGTTATCATCAACACTGAATAAATTTATCATGAGAAAGCTTGTGACAATAACAAGGGTATTTTTTGATCCTTTGGTTAGTTTTCATTCACTTGTAAGTGTATCTTTATGATTCCTGACATTTTTGGATAGTTTTCATTCACTTGAGCTGATATTTTAGTAATATTATTGCTAGCAGCTGAATGTATAATTCCTGGAATATTTTTTATCTCTTACATTTTAATAAAAGATTAAGGACCATTTAATTTTAAATTCCATATTGTAAAAATGTGACCTCAAGATAGATTTTTATGCATTATTAGATTATTAGAGAAACGTCGTGAGGCTCTGGCAGCTGTGGAGTTGATGCGAGAAACAGTGAGAAGAATAGTAGAGCAAGAAGAAGCACGGAAAGGTCTCGTCATACTCCAGTAAGTTCTATATTGATTTGGCTTCCTAACACAAAACACAAAAGGTAGTAGTGAACAGAGCAAAATCCAGCATCAGCGAGGTCAAAAGCTCAGTGCCCCAAGGCACTGTCCTGGCACCTCTGCTGTTTCCATCCTCATAGCAGACATAGATAAAATCACCCATCACACTTTTGTATCATTTGCAGATGACACTAAAATAAGCATGAAAGTCACTACAGTAGAGGACACTGAAAAATTACAGGAAGACATAAGCAGGGTTTTCCAGTGGGCAGTGGAGAACAACATGACGTTCAGTGGTGATAAGTTACTGCTGCTTAGGTATGTATAGAATGAAGAACTCAAGAGGAACACTATATACAAAACTCAAGAGGGTCACCAAATAGAGTGAATGGAACACACAAAAGACCTTGGAATAATTATGTCAGCTGACCTTTCTTTGAAAGATCATAACAAGACAAAGATCATGACACTCAGGAAGATAACGGGGTGGGTATTGAGAACTTTCGAAACGAGGTAAATAATGCTGATTGTGACACTCTTCAAATCGCTAGTGCTCCCTTATTTAGAATATTGCTCAGTGCTGACGGCCCCATTCAGAGCAGGAGAAATATCAGAGCTGGAACAAATACAGAAATCGTTTACGGCTCACATTAAGCCAGTAAATCACTTTAAATTACTGGGAATGCCTTTAAGTCTTGAACATGTACTCATTGGAGCAGAGGAGAGAGATGCATAATAATATGTACCTGGAAAGTACTTGAGGGCCTGGTCCCAATGGGAGGAAGTGTAATATAAATCCAGTGAGAAGCAGGGGTGTGGTGGGGACAATAAGGGAATGCTGTATCAACATTCAGGGTCCCAGACTATTTAACATCTTACCAGAAGGTATCAGAAACATGGCTGGAACAAGTATGGAAGTCTTCAAGAGGAAACTAGACAGGTATGTTCACCAGGTTGATCAGGCAAGCACCAGACAAGCCTGGCCCATGGCCAGGCTCAGTAGTGAAATTCTCAAAACTCTTCAAATGTTCAAAGGTAACGGTTGTTTGGGGATTTCACAGGAAGTAAGGGTGTTTAGTATACAGTAATGGACCTTGATTTAAAAGACTCTTAATATTATGGGAAAAGTCCACTGGTTAAATTGTACCTTTAATTCCATTAATTTTAATGTATATTACAGTATAGAAGTAAATTGTGTATACTACAGTAATATATTAAGCATATAGTAGAGTACTTTAGTAGTGCTTTCTATTGCTATTTTTTAACATTCCGATTTAATGGGCATTTAGACAATCCCCCACAAGTTTGTAATAAACTTTGTGATAACTAAGTGTATATACAGTAGGGCCACACTTACACGGCTGGTTAGGTTCCAGGCTACTGCCAGTAAGCGGACATCGCCGGAAAATGAAATGCCATTGGAAAGTGGAATCCATATAAATGCCAGATAACAAGTTTACACTAACACACATTAAGATGGCAATAAAACTAGGCATTAAAAACAATAAAATGTAAAATACACACACTACACCCATTACTTACCTTAAAATATTTGTAGTTTTAATGTAGGGTGAGAGGTGAGTAGTATTTATTTGTAGGAAGTCAGGTGTGGGAGGTATGGTAGCCAGCCAGGTCAGCCCACCCACCCTACCACACCCACACGTAATATACTATGACATTTAACCCTTTTAGGGTCCAGAGGCCAAATTTCGAAGTGCACACCAGTGTCCAAGAATTTTCAAAACAATAATTTTGTTATTTTTTCTTTTGAAATGGTAGAGAATCTTTTTCTGAAGGTAATAAAACAAAAAGTACAAATTTTGATGGAAAATTGACGAAATTATGATCTCGTGAATTTTGATGTGTCAGCGATATTTACGCATCGGCGATTTTACCAACTTTGACTCCCATTTTAGGCCAATTACCTTATTCCAGTCAACCAAATTCTTAGCTATTTCACAAGTACTACTTCTATCGATTGAGCACAAGAAATTACTAATTCAACTTTTTCAACTACAAAATAAAGTGATTATAAATTGGTAATTTGGCCAATTTAGTGCAAAGTTCAGAATATTCCAATTTCAAAATAGGGTCCAGAATAAACAATGCAGGCATTCCTGGCACTAAACTAACATTTCCTCTGTTCATTAGTTATGTTTTCAGGCTTTACAAATGAATTCAATTTTGATTTTAATTCACATAATTAATTTTAATCAAACCAAAAAATAGAAGATTTACTGTCATGCAATATTGTAATAATTGTATAAATAATATCAGCACATTTGTGAACACATATTAGACCCACCACCTGGCGTGTATTAGACGTGTGAGGTCATTTGTTTACTCTTGAACATCGGCAAAAATTTAACATTTCCGCTACTTTGAGCTCAGTGTCAAGCCATTTTTCGTACTAAAACCAATCAAACTTATCTCTATTTCTGTAATATATCTTCCATTCTATCAAGTGAGACCAAGAAATCGCAAATACAACTATAAAAAACATGAAAAAACACTGCAAAGTCGCTGTTTTAATTGAAAATTACGATCTCGTTTTTTTTCTCTCATGCACTGTGTGCTGCAGGATTTGTTATATGTGGTGCACACATACCACATAAATGTATTCTCTCATATCTAGGCCCAAATTTACCACTCACAGCTTATCAGAGTGAGCTGAGCTCATACGCGTAGATCTACAGTTTGGACTCTCATCGTAAAGCCGTAGATCTATGGCATGGACCCTGAAAGGGTTAAAGTGCCCCAGAGTGACAAAATGAAATACAGTGTATTCATTAATTACCTTAAAATATTTGTAGTCTTAATGTAGGGTGAGAGGTGAGTAAATGAAGTAAAACGAATAAACAAGAGAGAGAAAACGAGTAAACGAGAGAGTAGAGAGACACGGATGATGTAAACAAATGGACGAATGCGTCTGGTTATGGTTGATACTCGTTCATCTACATCTAGCATCTCATATTTATGTTAATTTATTCTACTGTGGGGTGTATTTATCATGTTTATATGTTATGTAGCATGTTTATTATATAATTTCGAGAAAATATCATAGATGGATTAATGAAAATGCTTATATTAACGTAATACAGTGGACCCCCACCTTATGATATCAATCCATTCCTGAGAGATCATCGTAAGGCAAATTAATTTTCTCCATAAGAATAATGGAAATCAAATTAATCTGTGCAGGACACCCCAAAGTATGAAAAAAATATATTTACCACACAAAATATTAATTTTAATACACACACATTGAAGAAGACATGCACAGATTACTACTGTACTAAGAATAGAATACATGACACTTACCTTTATTGAAGATCTGGTGGTGATTGATGGGATGGGAGGAGGGGAGTGTGTTGAAGTTATTGTTTAGAAGGGGAATCCCCTTCCATTAGGACTTGAGGTAGCAAGTCTTTTTCTGGGGTTACTTCCCTTCTTCTTTTAATGCCACTAGGACCAGCTTGAGAGTCACTGGACCTCTGTCGCACAACAAATCTCCATAGAGGTCTGTACCTCCCGTTCCTTTAAGATTTGCCTAAAATGGGCCACAACTTTGTCATTGTAATAGTCACATGCACGGCTTGCAATAGCTGTGTTAGGGTGATTTTCATCCATAAAGGTTTGCTCTTCAACTCACTCTGCACACGTTTCCTTAATCTTTGAAGTAGGCACAATGGATTCCAGAACTGGCATAGGCTTCTCAGGGTTAGCCCCAAACCCTTCAAAATCTTTCTTAATTTCCATACTAATTCTCACCCTTTTTACCACAGGGTTGGCACTAGAAGCTTTCTTGGGGCCCATGGTTACTTATTTTGAAGTTACAAGCACAAAAAACACTGAGATAAGGTGAAATGTACCGAATGTATGCATGGATGTGACCACACTGGCTGGCTTGTAAACATTGGCACCCACGGGGCAGCTGAGGCCACACGTGGGAAGCGTCCCGGACGAATCACTTAAGGCGAGTTTTTTATCGTGAGACTAGGCAAATTTTTTTGCGTTCAAATGCTTTGTACGGCGGATTTAACGTAACGCGATGCGTTTGTAAGACGGGGGTCCACTGTAGTACGTGACATTTAATACGCCTCAGAGTGACTATTATTGTGTATTATTATTGTCATTATTAACCCGTAAATGGTCCAAGCAGATCTACGTTCACATGTGTAGTGCTCCAAATGTAGATCTACGTTTTTTTTTTTTTTACATATTTTCAAACAAAAAAATAGATCAAATTTTTTTACACAATTTCAAATGTAAAAAAAAAAAAGATCTACTTTTTCTACATACTTTCAAATGTTGAAAAAACGTATATATACGTTTGGATCGTTTACGGGTTAATATGACGTCCTCAAGATTAATAAGACACTTTTAGTGATTTTAAAGTGTACCTGCATGCCAGCACAGTGTGTAAGTTTATTTAGGTACAATTACACACAAGTATAATTATCGGAGTACATTTTTTTTTTTTTCAACAAGTCGGCTGTCTCCCACCGAGGCAGGGTGATCCAAAAAGAAAGAAAATCCCCAAAAAGAAAATACTTTCATCATCATTCAACACTTTCACCTCACTCAAACATAACCACTCTTTTTGCAGAGGTGCTCAGAATACAACAGTTTAGAAGCATATACGTATAAAGATACACAACATATCCCGCCAAACTGCTAATATCCCAAAACCCCTCCTTTAAAGTGCAGGCATTGTACTTCCCATTTCCAGGACTCGAGTCCGGCTATATAAAAATAACCGGTTTCCCTGAATCCCTTCACTAAATATTACCCTACTTACACTCCAACAGATCGTCAGGTCCCAAATACCATTCGTCTCCATTCACTCCTATCGAACACGCTCATGCACGCCTGCTGGAAGTCCAAGCCCTTCGCCCACAAAACCTCCTTTACCCCCTCCCTCCAACCTTTTCGAGGACGACTCCTACCCCACCTTCCTTCCACTACAGATTTATACGCTCTCTGTGTCATTCTACAGTACAACCTCTACTTGCGAGTTTAATCCGTTCCTTGACTTTGCTCGCCTCAGGATTTGCTCGTTTGCAGAGTCGATTTTACTCATTTAAATTAATTGAAATAGAATTAATCTGTTCCAGTGGAATTCTGTTCAATACGTAATTTCCCTGACATCAACTCTATGGTTTATTTATCTATCACAATTCGTCTAATATGACAATAAACAATATAAATGACATAGAAACCTGATATATACTCTAGAATGAATAAAATACATGTATGTCATTATGTGACAAGTGCAGGCAGCCATAAAGACGCACTCACTACAGTAGTGTAGCTACATACACTACAGTAGTGTAGCTACATACACTACAGTAGTGTAGCTACATACACTACAGTAGTGTAGCTACATACACTACAGTAGTGTAGCTACATACACTACAGTAGTGTAGCTACATACACTACAGTAGTGTAGCTACATACACTACAGTAGTGTATGCTACATACACTACAGTAGTGTAAGCTACATACACTAACAGTAGTGTAGCTACATACACTACAGTAGTGTAGCTACATACACTACAGTAGTGTAGCTACATACACTACAGTAGTGTAGCTACATACACTACAGTAGTGTAGCACATACACTACAGTAGTGTAGCTACATACACTACAGTAGTGTAGCTACATACACTACAGTAGTGTAGCTACATACACTACAGTAGTGTAGCTACATACACTGCAGTAGTGTAGCTACATACACTACAGTAGTGTAGCTACATACACTACAGTAGTGTAGCTACATACACTACAGTAGTGTAGCTACACACACTACAGTAGTGTAGCTACACACACAGATTACTAACACACACAGTAGTGTAGCTACATACACTACAGTAGTGTAGCTACATACACTACAGTAGTGTAGCTACACACACTACAGTAGTGTAGCTACATACACTACAGTAGTGTAGCTACATACACTACAGTAGTGTAGCTACACACACTACAGTAGTGTAGCTACATACACTACAGTAGTGTAGCTACATACACTACAGTAGTGTAGCTACATACACTACAGTAGTGCAGCTACATACACTACAGTAGTGCAGCTACATACACTACAGTAGTGTAGCTACATACACTACAGTAGTGTAGCTACATACACTACAGTAGTGCAGCTACAACGCACTACAGTAGTGCAGCTACACGCACTACAGTAGTGTATGTAGCTGCACTACTGTAGTGTATGTAGCTGCACTACTGTATTGTATGTAGCTGCACTACTGTATGTATGTAGCTACACTACTGTATGTGTATGTAGCTGCACTACTGTATGTATGTAGCTCACTACTGTAGTGTATGTAGCTACACTACTGTATTGTATGTAGCTGCACTACTGTAGTGTATGTAGCTGCACTACTGTAGTGTATGTAGCTCACTAACTGTATGTATGTAGCTGCACTACTGTAGTGTATGTAGCTACACTACTGTAGTGTATGTAGCTGCACTACTGTATTGTATGTAGCTGCACTACTGTATTGTATGTAGCTACACTACTGTAGTGTATGTAGCTACACTACTGTAGTGTATGTAGCTCACTATGTAGTGTAGTAGCTCACTACTGTATTTATGTAGCTGCACTACTGTATGTATGTACTACACTACTGTATGTATGTACTACACATACTGTATGTATTACTGCACTACGTATTGTAGTAGCTGCACTACTGTATTGTATGTAGTACATACTCATGTAGTAGCTACACTACGAGTGTAAGTGCTGCACTACTGTAGTGTATGTAGCTTCACTAGTGTGTGTAGCTACACTACATCTTAACTATAATACATTCACTACATCTTAACTATAATACATTCACTACATCTTATAAACATTCACTACATCTTAACTATAATACATTCACTACATCTTAACTATAATACATTCACTACATCTTAACTATAATACATTCACTACATCATAACTATAATACATTCACTACATCTTACCTCTTATACATTCACTACATCTCATAATACATTCACTACATCTTACCTCTTATACATTCACTACATCTTAACTATAATACATTCACTACATCTTATAATACATTCACTACATCTTAACTATAATACATTCACTACATCTTATAATACATTCACTACATCTTAACTATAATACATTCACTACATCTTACCTCTTATACATTCACTACATGGTATCTATAATATATTCACAAAAATATTATGTTAGTTCTGATGTAACTATAAAGTTTATAGTTACTATGAACATGAACGTGGTGGTGATATCTTTAGTTAATATTGTATTTCAGTTGTCACTGATCGAAACAAAATGAATATTAAAGATTAATTTTCTGGTTTGTGCGTCAAGGGCGGTGTAACACTTGAGATGCCCGGCGACGCTTATTAGCAAGATGTTTGCGACTTCGTTTTGGAGCGAATTTATGGAACGAAATCACCTTCCCTGAAAAGCGTATGCTAAAGCATAATAACCGAGCTAAAACAGCTAAGGAAAATGGATGAGAACGGGCTGTTTATTTTTTCAGTATTGTGCAGGCGCGAGGAAGACGAAGATTATAAAATAGTGTTAAAAACTGTTGTTCCTCCTCTGAAAATTAAGTCTCTTCAGATGCGAGCAAAGATAGGAGGGATCGACACTTCCCTCCTTGAAGAAATGTAGCAGGAGGAACGACTCCGCCAGAAGGCCATGGAGAAGGAACGACTCCGCCAGAAGGCCCTCGAAGAGGAGCGGCTGAGGCAGGAGGCCGTGATTGAGGAGCGACGACTCCAGGCCCTAAGACTACTGCCGGAATTTTCCGACATGAGTATCAAGGGAGCGGTAACCGTTGAAATACCCGGTGATATATGTATTTAAAACATAACCAACTTCATCTGGGAAGCTATTAACGGTACCAAGTCACCTACCCTGAAAAAGGTGTACACAAGCATAATAACGGAAGTGCAGGAGATAAGAAAAATGACTGAGAACGGGTTGTTTGTATTCTCAGTCCTCTGCAGACGTGACGAAAATGAAGAATATAAAGTTGTGATAAAAAAAGTGGTCTCCCCTTTAAAAATCAAGTGTCTACAACAGCGGACAAAGATAGGAGGGATTGACACTTCTCTGCTTGAAGAAATGTTGCAGAGGTCAGGAAAAGCAGTTTCACAGCTTCAGCAACAGGCTGTGGAGCAGGAGCAGCTCCGGCAGCAGGCCGAGGATGAAGAACGTGTCCGGCAGCAGGCCGAGGATGAAGAGCGTGTCCGGCAGCAGGCCGAGGATGAAGAGGATGTCCGGCAGCAGGCCGAGGATGAAGAGCGTGTCCGCAGCAGGCCGAGGATGAAGAGCGTGTCCGGCAGCAGGGCCCAGGATAAGAGCGTGTCCGGCAGCAGGCCGAGGATGAAGAGCGTGTCCGGCAGCAGGCCGAGGATGAAGAGCGTGTCCGGCAGCAGGCCGAGGATGAAGAGCGTGTCCGGCAGCAGGCCGAGGATGAAGAGCGTGTCCGCAGCAGGCCGAGGATGAAGAGCGTGTCCGGCAGCAGGCCGAGGATGAAGAGCGTGTCGGCAGCAGCCGAGGATGAAAAGCGTGTCCGGCAAGCAGGCCGAGGATGAAAGCGTGTCCGGCAGCAGGCCCAGGATGAAGAGCGTGTCCGGCAGCAGGCCGAGGATGAAGAGCGTGTCCGGCAGCAGGCCGAGGATGAAGAGCGTGTCCGGCAGCAGGCCGAGGATGGAGAGCGTGTCCGGCAGCAGGCCGAGGATGGAGAGCATGTCCGGCAGCAGGCCGAGGATGGAGAGCGTGTCCGGCAGCAGGCCGAGGATGGAGAGCGTGTCCGGCAGCAGGCCGAGGATGAAGAGCGTGTCCGGCAGCAGGCCGAGGATGAAGAGCGTGTCCGGCAGCAGGCCGAGGATGAAGAGCGTGTCCGGCAGCAGGCCGAGGATGAAGAGCGTGTCCGGGAGCAGGCCGAGGATGAAGAGGTGTCCGGCAGCAGGCCGAGGATGAAAAGCGTGTCCGGCAGCAGGCCGAGGATGAAGAGCGTGCCCGGCAGCAGGCCGAGGATGAAGAGCGTGCCCGGCAGCAGGCCGAGGATGAAAAAGCGTGCCCGGCAGCAGGCCGAGGATGAAGAGCGTGCCCGGCAGCAGGCCGAGGATGAAGAGCGTGCCCGGCAGCAGGCCGAGGATGAAGAGCGTGCCCGGCAGCAGGCCGAGGATGAAGAGCGTGCCCGGCAGCAGGCCGAGGATGAAGAGCGTGCCCGGCAGCAGGCCGAGGATGAAGAGCGTGCCCGGCAGCAGGCCGAGGATGAAGAGCGTGCCCGGCAGCAGGCCGAGGATGAAGAGCGTGTCCGGCGGCAGCTGGCCGTGGAGGAGCAGCAGCTCCGGCAGCTGGCCGTGCAGGAATAGCTCCGGCTCCGGCAGCTGGCCGTGGAGGAGCAGCAGCTCCGGCAGCTGGCCCTGGAGGAGGAGCTCCGGCTTCGGCAGCTGGCCGTGGAGGAGGAGCAGCTCCGGCAGCTGGCCCTGGAGGAGGAGCTCCGGCTCCGGCAGCTGGCCCTGGAGGAGCAGCAGCTCCGGCAGCTGGCCCTGGAGGAGGAGCTCCGGCTCCGGCAGCTGGCCGTGGAGGAGGAGCGGCTCCGGCAGCTGGCCCTGGAGGAGGAGCTCCGGCTCCGTCAGCTGGCCATGGAGGAGGAGCGGCTAAGGCAGCTGGTCGTGGAGGAGGAGCTCCGGCTCCGGCAGCTGGCCGTGGAGGAGGAGCTCCGGCTCCGGCAGCTGGCCGTGGAGGAGGAGCGGCTCCGGCAGCTGGCCGTGGAGGAGGAGCGGCTCCGGCAGCTGGCCGTGGAGGAGGAGCTCCAGCTCCGGCAGCTGGCCGTGGAGGAGGAGCGGCTCCGGTAGCTGTCCCTGGAGGAGGAGCGGTGCCGACCAAAGTTCAAAAACACACATGCTCGCTTTTACCAAAAATATAAGTTCCTTCTTGTGGTTATGAGCACACTGTTGTTTTTGGTTATGGCGGGATTATTTGCCTACCATATGTTCTTAAATTACAGAGAACAAAATTTGAGTTTAAACATGGAGTTTGATAATCTATGTGCTGAGGCATCTCGTGTGTGCTTTTAAAAATATAATTATTGAACAAATTTCAATATAGTCCAAAGGCCACCTCCTCCCGAATGATTAAATGACTAATGTGATTAGAAGGATTTGTTTGTTGGTTATTTAGATTTTTGTGTTTATGTTCTTGAGTTTGTTTTATTGCAGAGTTGATAGTAAATGGTACAGTGTTACTGACCTAGTTTTGGCCTGCTGGTCAGTACACAAATAACCCACACATAGGAGAGAGAAGGTCATTACGACGTTTCGGTATGACTTGAACTATTTACAAGTCACACTGTAATTTGTAAATGACTGAAGTCGAACCAAAACGTCGTCATAAACTTCTCTCTCCTATGTCTGGATATTTGTGTATTGAACTCTATTTCCACCCACATTATTCCATCCTTATGCTAATACTACCCAAGAAATTAGGGGGCATTGACCCCCGAAACCCTCTCCAGGTAAACTTCAGGTATGTTATGCAGGTTGTAATCAAATCTAACTCTTAAGTAAGTTTACTCGGGAATAGATACACACAAATACAGTTACACAAATTATTATACATAGCTGTTTACCTGAAAAGAGTTCCGGGGGTCAACGCCCCCGCGGCCTGGTCTGGGACCAGGCCTCATGGTGGATCAGCGCCTGATCAACCAGTCTGTTACTACTGGCTGCACGCAATCCAACGTACGAGCCGCAGCCCGGCTGGTCAGGTACCGACTTTAGGTGCTTGTCCAGTGCCTGCTTAAAGACAGCTAGGGGTCTATTGGTAATCCCCCTTATGTATGCTGGGAGGCAGTTGAACAGTCTCAGGCCCCTGGCACTTATTGTATTGTCTCTTAACCCTTTGACTGTTTCAGGCCCCTGTCGCTATGTCGCCAAATATTCGAAAAAAGAAAAATTATTTTTTCTTATGAAATGATAGAGAATCTTTTCCCGATGGTAATGACACCAAAAGTTCGAAATTTGGTCGAAAACTCATGGAATTACGCTCCCGCGAAGTTAGCGGAATCGGCGACATGTGTATCGGCGATTTTGCCGACTTTGAGCCCTGTTTTCAGCCAATTGACCGAACTCATAGCTATTTCTTTAGAACTTCATTTTATCTATCAGCTGAGTACAAGAAACTGCCCATTTACCAATTTGACCTACCCAATATAGTGGTCAGAAATTGGCAATTTGGCCAATTTCACGCAATTTAAAAAAGATGCCAGTTTCAAAATATGGTCCAGAATAAACAAGGTAGACATTCTTGGCACTAAAATAGCATATCCTCTGTTCATTAGTCACATCTCTAGGCCCCTCTTATATTATTATTGCTTTCTAATTTTATTTTTTATTCATACAAAAAAATACAAAATTTACTATTATGCAGACTACTGCATTATTGTAAAAATGGTATAAATAATATCAGTGCACTAGTGAAAGAATATTGGACTCCCAGTTGACGTGTATTGGACGTGTGTTGTGATTTGTTTACTCCTGAACATTGGTAAAAATCGAACATTTCCGCTAATTTGAGCTCAGTTTCAAGGTCGTTTTCATCGTCAAAGTAATGAAAATCATCTCTATTTCTGTAATATGTTTTCCATTTTATCACCTAAGACCATGAAAACGCGAATACAACGATAAATATTATACGAAAATACACCTCAAAGTCGGCGTTTTATTAAAAAAAAAAAGTTTTTTTTTTTTTCTTATTACACAATGTGTGCTGCAGGATTTTTTTTATGTGGTGCACACTGACCACACAGACCCATTCTCTCACATGTGGGCCTACCAGCTTTCTCCCACTTGATTTGAAGCTGCTAGTATATATTTAGTATATATACGTCAGAAACATTGGCTTGTAAGACGTATTTATACGTCGAAAACAGTCAAAGGGTTAACGTGCTAGTGACCCCTGCTTTTCATTGGGGGGATGTTGCATCGTCTGCCGAGTCTTTTGCTTTCGTCGCGAGTGATTTTCGTGTGCAAGTTCTGTACTAGTCCCTCTAGGATTTTCCAGGTGTATATAATCATGTATCTCTCCCGCCTGTGTTTCAGGGAGTACAGGTTCAGGAACTTCAAGCACTCCCAGTAATTGAGGTGTTTTATCTCCATTATACGCGCCGTGAAGGTTCTCTACATTTTCTAGGTCAGCAATTTCACCTGCCTTGAAAGGTGCTGTTAGTGTGCAGCAATATTCCAGCTTAGATAGAACAAGCAACCTGAAGAGTGTCATCATGGGCTTGGCATCCCTAGTTTTGAAGGTTCTCATTATCCATCCTGTCATTTTTCTAGCAGATGCGATTGATACAATGTTATGGTCCTTGAAGGTGAGATCCTCCGACATGATCACTCCCAGGTCTTTGACGTTGGTTTTTCCTTCTATTTTGTGGCTGGAATTTGTTTTATACTCTGATGAAGTTTTAATTTCCTCATGTTTACCATATCAGAGTAACTGAAATTTCTCATTGTTGAACCTCGTATTGTTTTCTGCAGCCCATTGAAAAATTTGGTTGATGTCTGCCTGGAGCCTTGCAGTGTCTACAATGGAAGACACTGCCATGCAGATTCGGGTGTCATCTGCAAAGGAAGACACGGTGCTGTGGCTGACATCCTTGTCTATGTCAGATATGAGGATGAGAAACAAGATGGGAGCGAGTCCTGTGCCTTGTGGAACAGAGCTTTTCACCGTAGCCTCCTCAGACTTTACTCTGTTGACTACTACACTTTGCGTTCTGTTTGTAAAGAAATTATAGATCCATCTACCAACTTTTCCTGTTATTCCTTTAGCACGCACGTTGTGCGCTATTACGCCATGGTGACACTTGTCGAAGGCTTTTGCAAAGTCTGTATATATTACATCTGCATTCTTTTTGTCTTCTAGTGCATCTAGGACCTTGTCGTAGTGATCCATTAGTTGGGACAGACAGGAGCGACCTTCTCTAAACCTATGTTGCTCTGGGTTGTGCAATTGATGGGTATCTAGATGGGTGGCGATCTTGCTTCTTAGGACCCTTTCAAAGATTTTTATGATATGAGATGTTAGTGCTGTCGGTCTGTAGTTCTTTGCTATTGCATTACTGCCCCTTTTGTGGAGTGAGGCTATGTCTGTTGTTTTTAATAACTGTGGGACGACCCCCGTGTCCATGCTCCCTCTCCATAGGATGGTAAAAGCACGTGATAGGGGCTTCTTGCAGTTCTTGATGAACACTGAGTTCCACGAGTCTGGCCCTGGGGCAGAGTGCATGGGCATGTCATTTATCGCCGTTTCAAAGTCATTTAGTGTCAGGATAACATCAGATAGGCTTGTGTTTACCAAATTCTGTAGCTTTCTCATAAAAAATTCATTTTGATCTTCGACTCTCAGTCTGGTTAGCGGCTTGCTAAAAACTGAGTCATATTGGGACTTGAGTAGCTCATTCATTTCCTTGCTGTCATCTGTGTAGGACCCATCTTATTTAACCCTTTGACAGTTTACAATGTATAAATACGTCTTAGGAGCCAATGTTTCTGACGTATTTATCGCACAAATTCTAGCGGCTTCAAATCAAGCGGGAAAGGCCTGGTAGGCCTACATGAGAGAGAATGGGTCTCAGTGGTCGGTGTGCACCCTGTGATAAAAATCTGGGACCCAGCGGTGCATTGTGGGAATGCCATCTTGTTAGTCCATTTTCATCATGCCTCTCGGTAAGAAGTTCCTCACTCCTTGGCGGATTGGAGGTCTTTTGTTCCCAAGTGATAGCTCTAACAGCAATGAAAATGTCAGTGACAGTGAATTCCAGGGTTTTGAAGTGAGTGTTACCGGAAAAAGTGCCCAGGATAACGTAATTAGTGATGAAAACCCAGATGACCCACAACCTTCCACCTCTGGTGCTGGGCCGGCTTGTTAACGTTCATGTTCGCTGGTACCAGGACGAAAGAGGAAACTATTTGGTCGTGTACAACACCCAGATGTTAGCAGTGAATGTGATAGTGATAGTGATTTCAAGGTCATTGAAAGCAGTTCTAGTGACAGTGAGAGTGAATATTCCCCAGTGAAGCGGCAGTATGTACGACGTAGCATGCGGTCTGGTAGTGTTTCATATGTTGTTCCAAGGGGAAGGAGAAACTCTGGGAGCACATCCCGTGGCCCTACACCATGACCTGATAGTGAAGATGACGATATTATAACGATGGGTATGAATGATGTGAGTGAGGGAGCAGGCAGTGGTGGTGATAGTGAGGGTGGCATGGCCCATGTGGCACCATCAGCGGGCCAAGCTACTACCCACGCTGCTGACTCTGCACAACAACCAGCCTCACCCTACCCCACACTCCCACAACCTGCACAACCACGGTACAATATCCAGACCCCACCAGCAGACCACATCTGGGATTGGCAGGACGGTGACGAGTTTGTTCCCAGTCCCCATG